TGGAATTAGCACAGCTGCTCAAACATGAAGAAGTGTGGTGTTCTGTGAAAGAACTTGGTCACTTAAAGACTGGCACTTACTTCTGGCTCCCAGGAAGACCCCTGAAGCACAGCCTCCTATGAAATAGTTCAGGGGGTCGTCCGGGGCGTCGCGGGCCTGAGCGCTCAGACACGTCGCCATTCCAAAGATGGCTCCCATGGAGGCTGCCAACACAAACCCGGTTAGACCTTCCTCTCCTGAAGTGTGCTGCTGTTCAGCGTGATCGTGATCAGAGGCTTTTCAGGTGGGCGTTCTTACCCATGGTCACCGTGGCGCCGGTGGCCCTCTGCAGCGCCACCAACGCAGACTCAGGCTGGAACGCCACGATGTGATAGGCCGAGCCCACCAGGCCTGCAACACACACAGGCCCTTACACACACTGGGAACAGAAACCCAACCTCCAGTTGGGTCTATTTTCTCATTTCCTCTGCAGGCCGTTGGCTGAGATCCAGATGTTGTGGTTCCACAGAAGCAGATGAAGCTGTCCAGAGGACCACGGCTAACTGCTGGAAACCTTAAGACCAGTGTTGGTGGTGGTTTGCACCAGAAATGTAGAAGTTCACCACGAAGGGCATCATTTCCATACAGATGTTTATCAACAAGTTGAACTTTCATTGTGAACGGACAGTTCATCTGAAACAGGTTTGGTTTTCTCACACGATGCTTTATTTAACAGAGTTCTTTTCTGCCTTCCACCTTGTTTCACTTAAGGAATTTCAGACCGTTCTTAAAGGCACATCCGGTTCAACTGGTGAGAATAAATGTGGAAACTTACTGGGAGTAGTCTTACATCAAAAAAGCTGTCACACAGAGGCAGAGCTACGAGCGGAGCATGGATTTCCAATCAGAACTTACTTTAGTAGGCTGTTTTAAAACAGCAAAATGTTGTTTACAAACTGAAATGTTTGCCAATGTTTTGATATTTCAGTCCAGACACCCTGGCCAACACAAGGACCAAAACAAATGCCTGAATCCCAGCAGCCACAGCTGGATAAATCTCCAGTATGAGTCCAGGATGAGGCTAAAACCCAAAGTTAACCCTAAAAGAGCACTGGGGTTGGTGGCCGTTTAGAGGGAGACGTCAACAAATCAGATTAATCTTTAATAAACAGAAGTTAATGTTTACAGACGGTGATTATAAGGATATTATTAGGAAAGATGGACAGTTACTACAACCTGAAGTGTGTCAGTCTTCATTAGGACCTTTCTGGGGTTATTTAATTGAGTTTCGGACTTCAGGAGACAGCAATTTGCTGATCCCACAGCGAGCAGATTAAAGCCTCCCCCATTCATGATAAACTGCTTTCACTAGACTCCTGGTGCAAAGGTTAGGGGCTCTAAATATGTTTTTTCTAATCGTTTGTCTTTGTTTTGAAATTGAGAAAGATGCATTCAAAGCTTCCAATGAAAACATATCCGTTAGCATGTAGCATGCTTAACACCGGCATGTACATGTGAGGTCAAACTTTTCGTCTGTTTTAAGAAAGCTCAGGCGAAAAAAAGCCTGATTAAATGACCTTACAGTCTGTAATTATTTGAAAACTGAACGTATTCTCGTAGGTACCAGTCTTTGCTAACACATAACAGCTAGCACTACTGACGCTTATTAAACTGTCTATAAACTTCCCAGCCCTCTATTTTTTCAGAAGATTCTCCGTCCGCAGATACGTACCTAAAGCTGTGCCCAGTTTGGTGGTGATCCATGTTTTCTCGACACAATCTGTACCCTCCGGGACATCCCAGTACCCCATTTCGGTCTCTGCGGTGTGCAAGGTCAGGACTGAACATCTCGCGAGAATATAGCTCACAGCGTGATTTCGGTCGGTACACGGCAGTACAGCTCATGGCCGCCATCTGCTGGACTGGGGTGGAACAATTTATGACAACCCATCACCGCCAGCCGTTGGACCAAAGACGGAAACTTATTTTACGTTCTTTTTAAAGCTCTGTGTGAAGAAAAGGGGAGCGAACCCTCAAGGCTCCTGTTTCACTGGGAAGTTCGCCTGCTTTTGCATGGAAAAGGTTTCAGCCGGGTCTGTGAGAGAGGAGGTAATGTTATAATGCACCACAGCAACGGACTGCATGATTTTCAGTAGCTTGCAAAATGGACATACTTGTGTGCTGCTTAAAGTCAGAAATATTAAATATAACGTTGGATAAATAAGATTATTTACAGTTCAAATATAAATGAATAAAAACTTCCTTAAGTTTATTTAATATTAAAATATCTGTACATGTGTAATCTAACTTGTAACCTGTCACTTGTCAATCATCCTATTTCTTTTTTTACTGTGGTTCTTTTATAATTCACCAGCCAATCACGGTGAAGTGTCTGTGAAGGGGCGGGGTTAGTGGGGCAGGTGGTTAGAGGAGCCGTGAGCGGGAGCAGAAGCAGGAGCACCGCGTGCAGCAAAGAAGTGTTTACATTCGAATACCTGTTACCTGCAAGAAGTGAGTCTGATCTATATGCCTGTATTTTCTACAGTAATTGTCATAGTTTAAGGAAACCGGATTTGTCAGACGTTTAGCGAGCTGCTAATTTGCGTTAGCATGCAGTGCTATTGGGCCTGTATATTTTAGCTTTAGCATTGTTACATTTCTGCAGCTACAGCAAGCTAATACTAATTCAAAATGAGATAGTGTTTGATATTTTGGCTCAATTTGGATAATATGCTTTAAGGAGAAAGTCGGTAGAGTGTTTTGATGTTCTGTCCTTTGCTGCTGAGCTGCACTTCTTTGTGACTTTGGCGCCATTTCCAGCTTTAGCTTGGAGGCTACGTCATTGCGGTTAGCTTGGATTCAAGGTCATGGCGGTCAGTGGAGAGCATGAGTCTGAGACAGCAGGAAACCTGGTGTGGGGAACAATGACATTTTTATTGTCGCTGTTTGTAGGAGCCATTTGTTTATTTTAGTTATTTGACAACATACTTTCTTAATTTCTACATATCTTAATTTCTATGCCAGTTTGTTTCCATGTCTCCCCCTATAGGTGAAGGCGGGAACTGCACCTATAAAAGCTGTGATGGGTCTGATACAGGCTGAGACAGTCATTGACTGATTTGGCACTTCAAACTTGGAGTGATCTTTTGTTATAATCAAGTTTAATTTGTTACAATAAACCATCAAAGGACACACAATAACAATCTCCTGGACTTAATTTCACGCGTCAGACTACAGTATTGGACACCCAAGGTGGGAAAGATTGTTGAGAAAAACAAAGAAATTTGAAAATTGAAACAACAACTTTACCACTACATTTAGTCAATGACTTTGCTTGATTCATGGAAACGGCTTTGAAGATTGGATTGCGTGGATGCCGAAAGATGGAATTGTTTGAATGAGGCTGCCCCGCCAACTGGAAACAAAGGAATACACCTTGAAGAAGGTACGTGCCACATCAAGTTCTCTGGCCTGTACACAAATGAACGTGGATTGAAATGGATTTATGTTGGAAAGAAATTATTTAAGAAATTATTTAAGAAAGGAAAGTTTAATTTTGGAGGAAGTTGTATCTTAAGTTCTTGCTTGAAAGAAAAAGAATATTGAAAGAAACGTTACAGGACGAAGAATTGATTTCGTTTTAAATACTAAAGGAAGAAAGTATTTACTTTGTTTGGAAAATTTCTAACAAACTGTTTTGTGTTGAGAAATGGATGACTCCGACAGAGATGAAGCTCCAGGCCCGTCTGCAGAGCCAAGAGAGGCCACAGCAAATCTCCGTGCCTAGAGGTCTGGTAAAATGTCGCATCTAATGCGACGGATGAATATCGTGAACAGGCTTATGGAAAATAATGAACAAGTGGAAGAGATTAAAGGCAATATGCTTAAGTATAATGATATGTTGAAAGAATTCAAAGCCGTAAATGTATCTTATCAAGAAATGTTAGATGAAGAGTACAAAAGCCTTGATACAAAAACATGGTTGGAGCCCCATATGGAGCAAATCAACACGTTCCTTGCCAATGTAGAAACATGGTTCGCAAATATCGGACATTTGAAGCAAGACGGTGTCTCAGTCGAACTGCCTTCGTCTGATGCATCACCAGATACGCAAACAAATATTGAAGAAGACGACAAGCGCTCTGTTTGCTCCTCTGTTAGGAGCAATGCCTCAAGCGCGTCTTTACGCATAAAGGCGGAGGCCGAGCGCGGCACTGATTGCAAAAGCAGCGGCTTTGAAAGATAAGCACGCATTAGAACACGAACAAGAACAACTTGAAAAGCAACGTGCTGAACTTAGAAAGAGAAGAGAAACGCTAGACATCCTTACTGATATAGCAGCAACAACTGCGAAAATAAATTATCTGAAAAAAGAAAGTGGTATTTACAAACTGTTGTTTGACCTGCACAAGGTGAGTCTGATGTATATGCCTGTATTTTGTACCCTAACTGTACTAGTTTAAGGAAACTTGATGTGTAAGATGGTAGCATTCTGTGCTATTGGGCCTGTATATTTTAGCTTTTGCATTGTGATATTTCTGAAGCCAAGGCAAAGTAATGCTAATTCAAAATGAGGTACTGTTTGATATTGTGGCTCAATTCAGATGATAATAATCAGGCCTTCAAGGTTAAGATATTAATATAAAGTGTTTTATTTTGTCTTTATTGGCCCAAATGTAACTTTTTGAGTGGTTAATCAGAGAACACCGTTTTGAAGATGATTTGAAGATTCAGAGAAGGCTGATGGGGACTTTATTGTTTTCTGTAAAGCTTAGAGGGTTTTAACAGACGGGACAGTTCCAGGACACACTGATGAGCTGGACCTGTTCATCCATTCTTCATCTCTGATCAGCTGGACCATGGAAACCTTGCGGTGTTAACAAGTGGTTCAGTATGATCAGGTGGTAAGTACACACTACTTTTTCTAAGTACAACATGCGTGTGCTAATGATGTGGATTAGGCTTGTCAGCTGCCGATATTTGCAAAATAATGCAGAAAATGATGAAGGCTCGACTACCCACCCCTGAAGAAAAAGCAGCCAAGTTCCTCAGTGCTTCTTGCTCAAGCTTTGAGAGTGAGAGAGGCTTTTTAGTGCAGTTTCCCTCATTGATGAACACAGCAGCAGGCTTACACCTGAGCATGTTGAAATGCTTTTCTTTGAAAAAAATAATCTCCCCATCATGCTGGGGCTGTAGCCAGGGCGAACAGTTGAAGGGAGTGTGTAGATATGGAGGAGATTAGGGAGTAAAAGGCATTTTTGGTTTTATATAGTGTTCAATATTCACAGATTTTTTTTTTTAAGCCCTAGTTATGCTGAGTTAATACTATTTTCTATTTAGGTTGTTGGTATGTTTTGCTTTTATAATAAAGTTTCTATCATTATTTTAACTTTTTACTGTTCACTGATGCCATTTCTGATTGTTATTTTTAATTTAGTCTATTTAGTTTGTATCCCTGAATAAACACGTCAGTGTCTCTGTTCAGAATTTGTGCGTCAAGGTGTGTGGCCATCACTGGTCACGCTCTGAGTGCATGCTCAGGAGAGCTGTGACCTCCTGTGATTGGTCAAGACCCTTGAGCACGAGCTGGACACGAGCTCATCTGCATAGCCTTAGCGAACATGTTTTATAACAGGATTGAAGATGCGCAAGTCAGTGCAGAGTGACCCGAGGAAGCATCCACGCTGCACCATGTTAACGCAGGAGTCAACTTCTTCTTTCTTTCATCACGGACATTTCAGACTCCTAATGTCCACATTCTGTTCAGCCGTGCGTCTCTGAGAACGTAAGTTGCTGTTTTGTTCACTCGCTTTTGTTACATTTTAATACCGCGACGACAGTGCAAGTGTGCTTTTATAATGGCGCTTACTGTTTTCTATGCCACAGTTTTAATTAGAGTAATGCAGATTTGTGGGTTTGTGTACTTCTCCAGCGGAGTAGTAGCGACACCGGTCTGTGTTTGTTTTGAGCGTAGCGCTCCTCTGTGTTCCGTTCGCTCCTCTTAAAGGGGCCATGCGCCTTTTTCCTTTGTAACGCATTCTGTGTTTCCATTGAGTTTTGTATTGTGCAAATTGCTGGGGGGAATTGCACTTTATTTCTCCCGAAGGATATTTTCTCTCTCTCAGCTTTTATTCTTCATTTCTCTACTGTATATATTTTACTTCATTAATATTGTACATTTGTGTTTATTGTATATAACTCATGTCTTTCGTTGTATGTCTGTTTCTTATTTTTAGTAAAACACGGTTCACAGTTTGACGTTTTCCCGACAAAGAAAGTGTGTGTTTCGAAATTGTGGATTATCCATTTTTGTTCTGGCTGGACAACCTGTGCCGTTTGCTATTTTTCCATAAACCAGCATTATACAGTCCTTTCAGGGTGCCATAACTAGCACCAATTTTTACAGTCTCTTTACCAACCAGTGTGTATTGTTCAAAGTCACCTAATTTAGCTGGCTAGTTGTTGGAGTAAATCCCTTTTCAACATGAGTCAGACAACTAAGTAAGTAGGTTAAATAACTTTAATTATTAATACATGTTCTGACAGGCCGGGATTGGTATCGGTCGGTATAGGATCGGAAGTGGAAAAAGCCGAATTGGGACATCCCTAATGTGTATGCTAATGGTGCTGATTGATGATTCAGATCCTAAAGATGATGCTAACAATATTATTAATGATGTTACTGATGCTACTTTCAGACACATGGACAGAGAGCTGACCGGAGACATGGCGTGGGGTGCAGTTCATTTTTATAGTACACGTTGATTGGTCCTGAAAAAAGTCTGATCTGCAAGAGGTGAATATGATGTAT